CCAAGATCGGCAACAGCCAACACTTTGATAGCCTCAGGCATTAAATGGACAAAATCTAACACTAGTACTTTTTGCAACAAAATAGGGAAACCAGCACTACCTTCCACACCTGATACAAACCTCCTCCAAAATATTATTACCTTCACAAGCTCGCAGTCCCTGAAATCGAGCGGTTTACTTAACAACCATGAATTTGTATTAACTTTGGATACGAAGAACAAAGCACAGAATATCCCTAGCATAACATTAATCATGCTAGTCCCAAATTGTAATAAAATATAATTCAATATTTATTTTTATTTAAAATGATTAAAAATAGTTATTTAATAGTCAAGAAAATTTTTAAACTCATAAAAATTATATAACAATTATTATTAAAGAACCTATTTTTTTTAGCGTATCTTATAGAAAAATAAATTGTCCTGGCATCAGCATTTTCAGAATCTTCGGCACTTTTCTCTTCTGTATTTCATAAGCTAAAAAATCTAATTAAATAAAATATTTAAACAACAATAATATTAATTATTTAAAAAAACTTTTTCTTAAAAATTTCTTTTAAAAAATAGCTCTTTTTAATAAAATCACTTTAAAATAAAAAATTACATCTTTTTAAATGTTTTTTTAACAAATATCTTAAATAATAAGCTAAAAATATTATTAATGTTGTGTTATTTCTTTAATAACAAAAATTAAGTAATAATTCTTTTATGGTTAAAAGATATAAGTTAATATTATATAACAAAAAAACATTTTATAAATAAAACAAGATTATATATTTCTATTCTTTTTTTTTCTTGTATATAATATCAAGATTTTTAATAAACTTTAATATTATACAAGTTGAACTATATTTGATTATAATAAATAATAATAATAATACTTTGTTTAAATAAAAAAAAACCTGTAGGCCAATAATATAAAAAATAATACTTCCAGGTTTCCAAATGCATAACTCTAGTTTAATACTTATAAACAAAATATATAAAATTATTTTTTATTTGTAGATTATCAATT